TGGGGAACTGAGGCAAGAGAATCATGCGTTTGAGCCCAACCTTGGCAATTTATCAATGTAGTGAGGCTGTCTGAAAATATAAGGGCTAGGAGTATAGTTTAGTGTGAAGGTCCTGGGTTCAATCCCTAGGACCCCCCTCCTCTCCAAGAAGATTATTTGTTGTTAAAGGTATCCTGTGGAAAGAATCATGACAATTTTTGGAGGTAGAAACTTACTTTTTTTTTGAGACAGGGTCTCTATGCAGTTCAGGCTGGCCTTGAACTCACTGTTGAGCCCAGGCTGGCCTTGAATTTGTGGCAATCCTTCTGCCTCAGTTTCTAGGTGCTGGGATTACAAGCAGGCACCACCATGCCTGGCAGAAAGTTACTTTAGATAGTATCTTTTTAGATAGGATCTAATCCAATCTTCTTTATTGAGACCCAAGTTAGTGCAAATGACTTCCTCTGAGCCACATAGCTAGAAAGTGATGAGCTCCAGAATTTACCTCCAGGGGCTTTCATGTCATTTGGTAGTGTATTTTCTACCACAGTTACAAATTTGCCTTTTTATCATCAGTTCTGTGTTTGTGGGCAAACACTATGCCAGATATGTTGCTTGTAGGGACAGAGCCATTTTATTTTACTCCTTTCCGACAGTGAAACACCCGTGAATAGCTTCATTTGTTTTTTTCTTTTTTGGTTTTTAAGTCACACTGTGTATTCCACGCTTTCTTGACCTCATGGTGATCTTCCTGCCTCAGCCTCACAAGTGCTGGGATTACAGGCATGCACCACCACACCCAGCCTAGAAAGGCATTCTTGTTGTTAAAGGGGGGCTCTTGAGTGTTCTCATGAATCCTCTCTGTGCTCCGCTTTGCCTTCTGTATTTCTCCCCAGGAAGCCTTGGGCTCACCCACACTGACTCATTAACCGTCCACCACCCTCTGGAGAGGGAGAATGAAATCTCTGAGTAACTAAGCTGCAGGCCTTGCTTCTGAAATGCCAAAAGCAGTGTTTTCTTCCAGCCCTGCCTTCTCCCTGGAGTGCTGTGCCAGCCCTGCCTCCACTTTCAGGGGAGTCTGGTCTTCTAGTGTTTGTAAAGCTGTTTCATCCTCAGATGTTTGTTTGTTTGTTTGTTTGTTTGCAGTACTGGGAATATACTTCACACTGAGCTATATATAGCCTTAGCCCCCTTTTTTATATTTTATTTCAGGACAAGGTCTCACTAAATCACTAAGTTGTCCAGGCTGAAATCAAATTTGTAATCTTCCTGCCTCAGCCTCCCTAGTGTTGGGATTGCAGGCGTGCGCTGCATGCCCAGAAGAAAACAGTTCTTTTTTGTGGGCTTTTTTTTTGTACCAGAGATCGAACTCGGGTTCTTGTGCTTTCAAGGTGAGCAGTGGAACCACTGAGCTAAATCCCTAGCCTCAGAAAACAATTCTTCAGTGATAACTTTTGAAATTGGAGCTGTTTGTTTTAATTAGATATGATTTTATAAAGAAGAAGTACTATAGGCTTGACCTGCTGAGACTATGCTAGCTTTTATTCATTCATTCATTCAATGATTGTCTACTCGAAAGCAGTGGAGATGGTAGAGACAGGTAGACAGCTTACTGCTTAAGTGACTAACTCATGTAAATAAGTCATTTAGTTCCTGGGCCTCAAACTTCCTCATCTTTAAAACAGCCTTACACAGTGCCTTCTGCTCTTTTCTCTGCCACTTGATGTCCTGACATAATAATACCTATAGACTATTATTATTGTTGTTATGTTGAAATTAATAGCTAGCATTTAATGAGCACTTACTGTGTACTAGGCACCATGCTAAACACTTTCCAAGCTTTATTTTTTAAAATCCTCACAATAACACATTGAGGTAAATACTATGATTATCCCTGTTTTACAGAAAAAGAAACAAAATAAGAAATTAAGTAACTTGCCTAAGGTCACGTAGTAATGAGTGTGAGATAATTTCAGCCCCACAGGGTCTGTCCCAGAGCCAGTCCTTCATACAGTCATCATTTTAAATATTATGTGATACATAATAATTACACTTGCTTTCCAGAATTAGTACATATGTATGTTATGTCTTGATCTTTTTTTTCAGTTTTGATTATTTTTTGTATTTGCCTCCCACACCGTTCCCTTTTTCATCTCCAAAAATTCTAACCCCCTGTTTCTTATTATCTCTTAATTATTTATTGATAGTGGATTTTTGAGACAGGGTCTCATTATGTAGTTCAGGCTGGCCTTGAACTCTTTGATCCTCCTGCCTCAGCCACAAGTGCTGGAACACCTGGCTGTTGTACACAATCATCTCATCTGATCCTCAGGACAGTGTGTCGGCTTATAGACCTGCCTGGTAGGTTGGGGCATAAATGACTACAAGGTAAGACTGAGGCCTAGTTCTGGGCAGTCTCAGGGAAATTACTCTCTTTCTCTGTTTTTGTTTAAACTGTAAAATAAATGGTAATATTTTTATTAAGAACCATAATACTGATTTAAACAAATAATAAAATGTATTCATATGCCCACCACCCAGCGCAGAAGATGGAATATTACTAGGCCCTTTCACCAACCCTTCCAACTTCTGTCTTAGCACTTCTTTCAGTTTTGTTAGTCATTTTCCTCCCTTCTCTCCTTCCTTCCTTGCTTGCTTCGCTCTTTCCTTTTTCTCTTCTCCTGCTCCTACACCATCTTCAGGGGACAGTGAGTGGAGGCGTGTGGAATTAGGCAGCAGCCGTGTGACCTACCTGCTCCCTGATGAGGCTGTGGGTGGGGCCGTTCTGCCCTGCCTCAGGGAAGGAAGGGGAGAGGGAGGCTGTTCAGAAGCTAGGCTGATTGGAAGAGAGGTTCCAGAACACCATTCAGCCTCTGGCCTGAAGCTGCTGCCTTGAGTTTGGAGCACACCCAGAATAGGGAGGGGAGTCCTCTTACTTTAAGACAAAGTTTTCGGGCTGGGGATTTGGTCAGTGGTTCTACTACCTGCCTTGCACACACAGGGCCCAAGTTTGATCCCTGGTACCACAAAAATCAATAACAAAAACAAAAAAACCCCAAAGAAACAGTATCAATTCTACCTGGAAGCTCGAGCTTCAGGACTGATGATATAGTCCTAGATGTGGCCAGAGTGGTTTGAGCAGGCCTGCCTTCTCTTTTCACCCATTCCGGAGTGTTGATGGTGCCCCTCTTGAAGTTACGTTTGCTTTGCTGTTAAAATTTTGGCATTTTCTTTGCCTTTGCTTTTGTGGTGCTTCTTTGAATGAGAACTTTCCTTTCTACCAGTTGTGATTGTCAACTACAGATTGCTGTAGGGCCTGGGAGAAAAAGCATGGTTATGGGAAGTCTCTCCACCAGTGTGCCTTGATTTGACCTCTTCATTCCCACCACTCACCACATCCATTCTCTGGTGGCCAAAAGGTTGGATTTGGAACTGTATCATTCAGATATATAGTTCAGGAGAACAGATTTAGGTACTGTGGCAGATGAGAGACAGAGACGGAAACTGGGTTATGCCCACTTGAGGAATTTAAAATTGGGTGGTAATAGTGCCCACTTCACTAAGGGGTTTTTAAGCTTAGGAATTAACACATATTAGGCTAGTAGGATAGTCAGGGGCACCTGGAGCACAGTAAGCATTAGCTACTACTGGTTATGCTGTTTTCTGTCTTGTTCTGACCCTCATCTCCTCAGACTGATTCTGTATATTTTCTCTCATACTTTCCTCCCTTGTACAGTTCTTCATTCTGCTTGATTTCTTTTCTTTTCCGTTTTTTTTTTTTTTAGACAGGGTATTGCTATGAGACTGGCCTTGAACTCTTTGTATAGCCCAGGTCGGCCTCTAACTAACTCACAGCGATCCTCCTGCCTCAGCCTTTCTTTTCCTCTTCCTTTTTCCTTTTCTTTCTATACTAAGAATTGAACCCAGGGACTTGCATTGAGCTATATCATTTTATTTATTTTATTTAGACAGGGTCTCCCCAGTGTAGTTCAAGTTGGCCTTGACCTCACTGTGTAGCTCACGCTGGCCTCTAACTTGCAGCAATCCTCCTGTCTCAGCCCTCCATGTGCTGGGATTACAGTATGCATAGGCCACCATGCCTGGTTTGTTTAGTTAGAATTTTGGAACAGGATCTCAGGCAGTTGCCCAGACTGGCCTTGAACTTGAAATACTATCTCAGCCTTCTGAGTAGGGAATTATAGGCATGCACAACAGTGCCCAGACCTCCCTTTGCTTTCTGTCAGTTCTTTACCTGTCTCAGTACCTCTATTCCCCTTCTTCCCCTTCTTTCCATTCTCTTACCTTACCCTCTGTGTCCTCATTACCTATCCTTTTTTTTTGTACCAGGGATCGAACTTGGGACCTTGTGCAGGCAGTGAAACCACTGAGCTAAAGCCCCAGCCCTTATCCCCTGTCTTTTGGGACAGTCCCCTGCCTCATCTCTTTGCTACTAGTTTCATTCATTTATGTGCCAGAATAAACCTGGAGCATAGTTCTCACATTGTAGCCCTGTGTCAAAAACAAACAACTAAATAAACTAAACCTTATTTGATTCCTTGGTTGAAAGTTCAAGATTTTCTAACATTGACCTCTACTACTTTCATACTTTTCTGCTTTCGTCCTCCCCACTTTCTCCCTTTCCACTATGTGCTTCATGATCCAGATTAAATATTTTCTCAACTCTTCCCTACCTTCTACTGCTTAGAATTTTTTTACGTCTGTAGAAGTTAGCTCATATCCTCTTGAAATATAATTTTTTAGTCTGTTTCTGATTTCCTGTGGAATACAGCCTCAGTGCAGATGCTGGATTAAATTTATCTTTAGATACTTCCTATAATGTCCTGTAGTAGTGCTTTGCACATAGTAGGTGCTGAGTAAATGTTTGTGGTGTAAGAAGAGGCAGTTCTTTTGGACTGATGGGCTTCTCCCACGGCCTGCTGAAGGTCGCTGCTCAGTGGGTGGAAATGCTGTGGTTTTGTCCTCCAAGAGTCAGACATCTTTTCTTTCGCGTGTAAGAGAGGCAGAGCTTTCAGACTCTGCTGTTGGGTCCCGGTGCCTGTGTCTGTTAAGGTCTCCAGCCAGTGCCTGCGGAACTCAGTCCCGCGCCTTGGCCCCTCGGCCCCTCCCCAAAAATACTCGGCGGAACAGGGGATTAGGTTCTGGCAGCACAGCTGGGATTTTGGCGGCCATTCCACAGTCGACAATAGCACGCAGACACCCGGACGGGACAGCGCAGGCCTGCGCTCCAGGGCCAGAATCTGCCTGGCCTTCTTGTTTGGGTGGCCGAGGGGGAGGAGCGGGCACGGCGCTGCATCCTGGCCTTGCCACGCAGAAGGTACAGGCTGGAGAGATTCCCACGGGGAACGGGCTTGCGGGGAGGCCGTGTCCCAGGGCAGGCTGAGCCCACGTAAGGAGGCAGGCGCTTTGTGTGCGAGCGAGCGGTTGGGCGGGCA